TAAGTGAAATGAGCAAGGCACAGAAAGACAATCCACATGTTCTCACTTATTTGTGGGAGCTAAAAATTAAAACAACGGAACTCATGCAGATGGAGAGTAGAAAGAGGGTTACCAGAGGCTGGGAAGGGTAGTTGGGGGTGGGGGAAAAGTGGAGATGGTTAATAGGTACAAAAAGTAGTTAGAATGAGTAAGATCTAGTATTTGCTAGCAGAACAGGGTGACTATAGTCAATAATAATTTAATTGTACATTTAAAAATAACTGTAAGAGTATAATTGGATTGTTTGTAACACAAAGAATAAATGCTTGAGGGGATGGACACCCCATTTACCATGACGTGATTATTACACAGTGCATGTCTGTAGCAAAGCATCTCATGCACCCAATAAATATATGTGCTTACTATGTCCTCACAAAAATTAAAAATAAGAAAATTTAATTTCCTATACATATCACTTTTTAAAAAGCACTTTAAATACCTTCTCTAAGGATTAAAATAAACACATATTGTGAATTTAAAAGTAATACCTAAAAACAGACACTAATACACTTTTAACAAATAAGCTCCTTCTGCAGAACCAGCTTCTATAATGAAACTGTTTTCTCACAAATAAGCATATAAATAGAGGAATTTATACATAGCTAGATTATTAGAATCATACTTTATTAGAATTAGGACAAGACTTACATCATCTCTATAGACTGTTTCACCAGTTCCCTTCCCTCCCCAATCTTTTTTTTTTTTTTTTTTTTTTGAGACAGAGTCTTGCTCTGTTTCCCAGGCTGAAGTGCAGTGGCACGATCTCAGCTCACTGCAACCTCCACCTCCTAGGCTCAAATGATCCTCCTGCCTGAGCCCCCCAGTAGCTGGGGTTATAGACATGCACCACCATCCCTAGCTAATTTTTGTATTTTTAGTAGAGACGGGGTGTCGCCATGTTGGCCAGGCTGGTCTCCAACTCCTGACCTCAAATGATCCACCCACCTCGGCCTCTCAAAGTGCTGGGATTACAGACGTGAGCCACCGCACCTGGCCCCTATCTTTTTTATAACAGGAAAACTAAGGTTAAAGTAGAACCCAGACTAAACTGCAGGTTTCCTGACTCCTGTTCTAAGTCTCTTTTCTTCTATAATTTTTTAAAAATATATTTCAAACATAAAAGTATTGGTAATAAGCAGCACCCAGGTTTTTTAAATGTTAATATTGTCATATGTCTCCGATCTCTTAAAAAGAATTAAAATATTATCTATTAACAGATAATTCCCATTCTTCTATTTCATTCCCCTATCTCCCTCTCCAGAGGTATCCATCATGATGAGGTTGCGTGTATTCTGTCCTTCCTGCCCATGTTTGTATACACTTACCAAATTATGGGTTATACATCCTTAAACCACACCATGTTGCCAGAGAAAGAGTTGTTCTTCCAAACAAGGAAGAATCCCTCACTCTAGTATGCTTGCATGTAGTTATAACCTTTTGGGTTGGCAGGATATTTCAGAAAGAAACGAGGGCAGAGCCTTACGTCTTTTTAAATGATTACCACAGAGCCAGGCACGGTGGCTCACGCTTGTAATCCCTGTACTTTGGGAGGCTGAGGTGGGCAGATCACCTAAGGTCAGGAGTTTGAGACCAGCCTGGCCAACATGGTGAAAACCCATCTCTACTAAAAATACAAAAATTAGGCAGGCGTGGTGGCACATACCTGTAATCCCAGCTACTCTGGAGGCTGAGGCACAAGAATCACTTAAACCTAGGAGGTGGAGGTTTTAGTGAGCCGAGATCGCTCCACCACACTCCAGCCCGGGTGACAGAGGGAGACTCCATCTCAAAAACAAGCAAAAAACAAAATGATTACCACAGAAAGAGCTAGTGAAGTGTCTCGGTATCATTCAGAGTAAAAAGTAAATTGGGAAAATATAAACATTTTTAATACAACTTTTTATTTATGAAACACTGGTTTATAACGAACTAGTATGAATGACCTGTCACTTAACAATTGGGAAAGATGAACTAAATATTTTAACTAGTAATAATAGTTTCTACTACTGCCTCGAGGTCCAGCTCAGTGTTATCACCTTAATGAATTTGTCCATGATCCCAGAGTTGATGCCTTCAATAATCATTTATTGAGTGCTAAAGTCCTCTGGATACAAAAATAGATCCGGTCCATTTTCTGAGGAAAGCACAGAAATAACTACACAATACTGTTTAATAAATATAACAAGAGAGCTATCTATGAAGGCCTGGGGGAGCCTAACTTTTTCTGAGGCAATTCGAGAAGTCTTTACAGAAGAGGTGACGTTTCAACTACATGGTAGAGGATGAGAAGGCGGTCACAAAATGAAGGATGAAAGGTGATTCCAGGTAGGGATACACTGAATGAGAGGGTACAAAGGATGGAAAGATACTAGTTTTAGAAAGACAACTAAGGATAGACATTGGAGGTGGAGAGACAAGTTAGAAGACTGGCAACAATTCAAGTAAAAGATGACAGGAGGCAGACATGAGGAGGGAGGAGGAAGGATATGAACAAAATCCAGGAGATAAATTTAGCAGAACTTGATGCCTGATTTTATGGGGGAAAGAAAGAACATGGAGGAGTTGCAGATAACTCTTAAAAACTTGGCAAATCAGTGGGTGGTAAGGCCATTACTGAAATAGGGAAGACATGCAGAAGCTAAGAGGCTGGGCGCAGTGGCTCATGCCTGTAATCCCAGCACTTCGAGAGGCCGAGGCAGGCGGATCACCTGAGGTCAGGAGTTCAAGACCAGACTGACCAACATGGTGAAACCCCGTCTCTACTAAAAATATAAAAAACTGGCCTGTGTGGTGACACACGCCTGTAATCCCAGCTACTCGGGAGGCTGAGGCAGGAAAATTGCTTGAACCCAGGAGGAGGTTGCAGTGAGCCAAAATCACGCCATCGCACTCCAGCCTGGGCAACAAAAGCAAAACTCTGTCTCAACAACAACAACCAAAGAAGTTAAGAGCCTGCTTGAGAAAGGAGATGAAAGTTCATTCAGTTTGAAGCATTTTGAGTTGGCTTTGAAGCCTCTTCCATGAGACCTACAACAATTTCTCTAAGCCAGAAATCACCTCTTTCTTTGCACTCCATAGTATATCGTATCTTTTTCATCTCAAATTATTTCAATCTGCTGTATTTACAAGTTTGTTTTTACTTTTTTTTTTTTTTTTTTTGAGATGGAGTTTTGCTCTTCTTGCCCAGGTTGGAGTATAATGGCGCGATCTCAGCTCACTGCAACCTCCGCCTCCTGGGTTCAAGCGATTCTCCTGCCTCAGCCTCCTGAGTAGCTGGATTACAGGCATGCGCCACCATGCCTGGCTAATTTTTGTATTTTTAGTACAGATGGGGTTTTACCATGTTGGTCAGGCTGGTCTCCAACTCCTGACCTCAAGTGATCTGCCCGCCTCGGCCTCCCAAAGTGCTGGGATTATAGGCGTGAGCCACCGTGCCAGCCGTCTTTACTTTAAATCACAGAGAAAAAGTACTAGGTGTTATCTGTCTTTATATGGCTCTCTTGGCAGTGCCTTACACATAGAAAGTCCTCAGAGTTTGCATTCTTGAAAACGCAGCTCCATCAGACACTAGAAACTGTCAGTTAACATTTATCAAAACAAGGAACAAAACTTGCGAATTAGTAGCCTAAACAAAATACCTGAAGTATAGTATGTGGCCCTACAGCACCTTTTTTGTTTGTTTGCTTGTTTTTTGAGATGGAGTCTCACTCTGTCACCCAGGCTGGAGCACAGGCATGATCTTGGCTCACTGCAACCTCTGCCCTCTGTGTTCAAGTGACTCTCCTGCCTCAGTCTCCCGAGTAGCTGGGATTACAGGTGCCTGCCACCGCGCCCAGCTAATTATTTATTTATTTATTTATTTATTTTGTATTGTTAGTAGAGACGGGGTGTCACCATCTTGGCCAGGCTGGTCTTGAACTCCTGACCTCATGATCCACCCACCTGAGCTTCCCAAAGTGCTGGGATTACAGGCGTGAGCCACTGCACCCGGCCTTACAGCACTTATTTTTAATGTTAGTAGCTGCTTCGAGATATAAATTAGCTCCCTTTGTGCTCATCTTACTTGCCTCTTTTCTTTGAGATTGGGTCTCACTCTATTGCCCAGGCTGAAGTGCAGTGGTAAGATCACAGCTAGGGAGCCTTGAAGTGCTGGGCTCAAGTGATCCTCTCATCTCAGCCTCCCAAGAAACAGGTGCACACCACCATGATAGGCTAATTTTTAAAAAATTATTTTGTAGATACAGGGTCTTGCTGTGTTACCCAGGCTGGTGTGGAGTTCCTGGCCTCAAACAATACTCCTTTCTTGGCCTCCTAAAGTGTTGGGACTACAGGCATGAGCCACCGTGCTGGCCTTTTCTGACTTTTAAACAACTGCAGAGTCATCTTTGCATTCCTATTTTACAGATAAAGCAACAGAAGCCTCCAGTGACTAAATAACTTTCCTGGGGGTCACAAGGTTTACAAGTGGCTAAATAGGATTTCTACAGACTGGTTTCTTCACCTGGCTGCCCACCGAGGTAAGCGGGCCTTACTGCCCTAATTCTCAACAGGACCCCAAAGAGGACGCTTCTTTGGTAACAGCAAACGGGGCTCTCACTCCTACCATCTCAGCGACAGTCTAAAGCGCACCCTACCCCAGGAAAGTGCCCATATTTGCGCGCGCACACACACGGCAGAGGGCAGGGCTGAAAGGGGGTCCTAGGGTGCAGGGGGCGCGCCCTTGCCCGGGGACCCCGCATTTTACAGTATTAGCTCCACGGAGGTGCATGTAAGGGCAGGCGAGCAGCTGACCTTCGGTTCCAACGCGGCCCCAAAACCGGGGGTGGGAACGCGCAGCCCAGGTAGTGGCCTGGACTCCGAGCCTGGCCCCTCGGGGGTTAAAACTCCCCAGACATAAAGGCTCCGGAGCGGACAGAAGTGCAGCCGCCGCGTCCCCATGGGACACTGAAACTCTCCCCTACCTTCCTCCGTCGTCCTGTGCGGGAGGCTGGCCCAGCCGGCTGCCCTGTGCTTCGGACTGGAGGTCGCGGTCCGGAGGAGACCTGCCCGGTGGTTGCTGCTGGAACCATTTACCTCAGACCCGCGCCGCAGCCCCCCGAGGCCGCGCCCAGGCTTCCCTCAAGACCTCTCCAGGTTCCGGCCCTGACACCAAAGGGAGGGGTGGAACCTGGGGGCACCCGCGCGAGGGCCCCTGAGGGAGGCGGGAGGGGACACCCTCAGCCCCGACTTGAAGCCGAGGAGCTAGGGCTCCGCGCAGTCCCGCCAGTGGAGGGGCGTGTCTCATCGCGTGCCAAAGGAGAGGCGAAGGGCAAGGGGCAGAGGGCAAGGGGCAAAGGGCAAGAAGGGAATCCCTCCTCCCCCTACCCACGCGAGGCCCTGGAGCGCTGATTGGCGGTGTGCTGCGGAAGCGGCAAGAGGAACGTGTCTTGGCACGTGCCGAGGGAGCGCTAAAGGCCAGGGGCGGTCCCACTCGCGAAGCCCTGGAGGGCAGATTGGCTGCGCGAGGAAGGGGCGTGTCCCCACGTGAGCTGTCCCTGAGCGAGAGTAAGAGATAAAGGCGAGAGCGCCTGGGCAGGCTCGGGCAGCTCCTCCCACTGCGGGCAAAGGGCAGGCAGTTCTTGCGGGGACACAAGCCCTGGCGGACCATGGCCATGGCGGGCGCTGAGTGGAAGTCGCTGGAGGAATGCTTGGAGAAGCACCTACCGCTCCCCGACTTGCAGGAGGTGAAGCGCGTTCTCTATGGCAAGGAACTCAGGTCCGCAGCCCAGAGGCTAACTTATGGGATCTTGGGACCACAGAGTGTGGGTCTCGGGGAGCAGGCAGGGAGGGCCTCAGAGTCTGAAGGGCTCAGGGGAGGCAGTGAGAAGTCCTGAGTTGGCGGGTAGAGACCATAGTAGGTCTTGATGGGACAACCCTGGGGTCCTTGGTGGTTGCAGAATCCTGGCGTGACCTTTACAAATCTCTTCTCCCCCACGTTGCCCGGAACTGGAAGGAAAAGGACGGGATTTTACTCTCCAGGGCTTTCTCTGTGGCCATCCCAACCCTCCTCCATGGAGCCGGGCTTGTCTTCTGGGTGTCTGGCTGGATCACTGTCTCCAACCAGAGCACCCAGCAGGTGTACTGATTGTCCGGCCCCAGACCATCCTTCCTGCTGTGACCCGACCTCTGGCTGACTCTTGGAAATAGAGGCTGGCTACATTTAGTTGGCGAGGGAACCTTTCCCACTGGCAAGCTAGTTTTTCCACTCCCTGCAAGCTGTGTGCATCACCAGGACTTTGAGGGCTGTGTACTGCTGGACACTGTGTCCACAAAGCTGAAAAAGACACTTCCCGGCCGGGCTCAGTGGCTCACGCCTGTAATCCCAGCACTTTGGGAGGCCGAGGCGGGCGGATCACGAGGTCAGGAGATCGAGACCATCCTGGCTAACACGGTGAAACCCCGTCTCTACTAAACATACAAAATATTAGCCGGGCGTGGTGGTGGGTGCCTGTAGTCCCAGCTACTTGGGAGGCTGAGGCAGGAGAATGGCTTGAACCCGGGAGGCAGAGCTTGCGGTGAGCAGAGATCACTGCCACTGCACTCCAGCTTGGGTGACAGAGTGAGACTCTGTCTCAAAAAAGAAAAAAGAAGAAAAAAAGAAAAAGAAAGATACTTCCCCTTCCACTCTTGTTTCTCTTCAGTGCATTTCTTAACTGCAGCAACCAGAGGATCCCTTTAATATGTAAATCATATCCTGTTGACCTGGCGCGGTGGCTCATGCCTATAATCCCAGTACTTTGGGAGGCAGAGGCGGGTGGATCACAAAGTCCAGAGTTCGAGATCAGCCTGGCCAATATGGTGAAATCCCATCTCTACTAAAAACACAAAAATTTAGCTGGGCGTGGTGGCACACACCTGTAGTCCCAGCTATTCGGGAGACTGAGGCAGGAGAATTGCTTGAACCCAGGAGGCAGAGGTTGCAGTGAGCTCAGATCGCGCCACCGCACTTCAGCCTGGGCGACAGGGCAAGACTCCGTCTCAAAAAAACAAAAAAAAAGTCATATCCTGTTGTTCCTTTGTGCATAAAACTCTGTAAGGAATTTCCTGGGCTCTTAGGATGAAATCCAAACTCTGACTGCATGCAGCCCCTGACTAACTCTCCTTCCACTTCCTTGCTCATTTGTGGGCTCCCTCTCTCCCCGAGTCCAGCCAGTCTGCGGGCTCCATGACCTTGTGGCAGTGACCCTGCAGCAGGAACCACAGCAGTTTACCGGTAACTGAAGGTGTTGATTGGATCGGTGGTTCCCAGCCACAGCTGCTATGGAGTTACTGCAGGGAGGCTAGACCTCAGATCCAAGGGTGTTTTCACAGCTAGTGGATGATGAAGTTAGAACAGCTGCTTTTTGGGAGTGAGGTAGTAGAGAACTTTGTCAGAAAGGGCTCTTCATATCCAAAGGGCTGGGTGACCTTTAAGGCCCCTCCCAGTGAATGCACTCATGCTCCTATTTCCACTGCATCTGTAAAGACTAGTCCTTGAGAAGTGTCTTAGATTTGAGACTCCTAAGGAAAATGTCTTAAATAAAGCAAGGGGTGTCTTATGCTTCTAGGGACGGTAATTACTTTATTCTAAGAGTAGGATGGGCATATCTTCCTGGTAAAAAAGACAGCATGTGGGTGCCAGGGAGAGGTAAAGGAGAAGAGTCTTAGGAAAAGATAAGTCAGTTTCCCATAAAGGTGATTGGCTGGGGCACATTCTGGAGAAGGACTGAGGTCAGCCCATGCAAGAGGGATTTTATCTAAGCATTTGGGTCACTCCAGAGCGGGAGGGATGATGATAATAGCTGGTGAAATGGGAGACAGCTGTCTCTCTTGACCAATCACTGCCAGGCTTCATCCTGGGGCTCACAATAACTAAGTGGCTCCTTTTCCTACCCCCTTTTCTTGCTCTGTTCTACTCAGCATTTAGCCCTTTCAGCTTTTATCCCTAAGGTGTAAACCTTTGTACTTACTCTGTCCTTGCTAATGTGTGGGATTTGGCGATGAATGACATTTCGAACTGAAGATAAAAAAATTACTGCTCATTTAAAAACTCTAATCCCACTTAAATTCCTGTAAACTCCTCTAAGACTGATTTGGACATAGCTACCTCTGTGAAGGTCCGGTGGACCTGAAGCCCTTAGCCCCTCGGATCTGACTCCCAATGTGCTCCACACAAGACCACCTCTTCGCCCACTTACAATGGTTAGTAAATGTTTGCTCAGTGAATTAGCCAAATGGGCCTTTGCCTGTGGCAGATGAAATCCCCAGAGAACATCGACTTTCCATTTTAAGACAACCAGAACCAAGAAGCAGTCATTCAGTCAACAAGCATTCATTGAGCACTTAGTCCTGGCCACTGGCACTGGGGATACCAGGATAAGTCATGGTTCCTGCCCTTGAGGGCTTTCTATCTTTTGATGGTTGCCTTACACTGTGAGGAGGAAGCAGGAAGAGCTTGAGAGAGTTTGTGTGTTTGGGGTTGGAGGGACATTAGGAAGGCTTCCCAGGAGCATCATGCCTGAGCTACATCCTAGGGGAGACAGGAAGGGTACGTGTCCCCAGATACCAGGGGACATGCCCATTTGGAGACTGTGTTTGTGAGAGGGTTAGTCATTGAGTGCTCTCCTGAGGAAGACCTGAGAGAGGAGGCAGGAGTGGCAGGTAGCTCTTAGGGTCTCTGAGGCAGCAGAACTGTGTCCCGATAATGGCAGAGCCTTTGAAGAGTTTGACCTGGTGGCTGAGCGAAGAATGACCTGGAATAACAACTGGATAAGCTGAAATTTAAGGAAAGGAAAAAAGACTAGCCTGGAAAAAAGTAGGTGGAAGACGAGAGGCCTGATGTGAACAGAGTACCTGGGAGTGGAGAGACAGAAGGCTTCCAGAGGTTTCAGGGAGGTCAGTGGACAGTGAGCCAATGAGGATAACAGCTGTGGCAGTGAGGATCTTGCCGGCTTCTGGCTTGGACTCTCAGATGGCCAGTTGACTCATGAGGAGCATCTTTGGACAGGTTGCGTTTGAGTGTTGTTTACTTCATAGGGCTGCTGTAACAAATTACCACAAACTGGGTGGCTTGAAACAACAGAAACTTATTCTCACAGTTCTGAAGACCACAAGTATAAGACCAAGGTGTCAGCAGGGCCGTGTTCCCTCCAAAGATCCTAGGGGAGAATCCTCCCTTGTCTTTTCTAGCCTCAGGTGGCTCCTGGCTTTCTTTAGGTTGTGACAGCCAGTCTCTGCCTCTTTCTTGGCCTTCTCCTGTTGTCCCTGTATCTCTCCTGTGGTGTCTCTTGTCTTTGAGGAGGGTGCAGTGGCTCACACCTGTAATCTCAGCACTTTGGGAGGCCAGGGCTGGAGGATTGCTTGAACTCAGGAGTTTGAGACCAGCCTGAGCAACATAGCGAGACCCCATTTCTATAAAATGTTAAGAAAAACATAGCCAGGCATGGTAGCATGCACTATAATGTAGTTAGTCCTAGCTACACGGCAGGCTGAGGCAGGAGGATCGCTTGAGTCTGGGAGGTTGAGGCTGCGGTGAGCCAAGATCTCTCCTCTGCACTCCAGCCTGGGAGTCACATCAAGGCCCTGTCTCAAACTCACACACGTCTTTGAATTTGGAGCTTACTTGAATAATCCAGGATGATCTTGAGATCTTGATCTTAATTACATCTGGGAAGACCCTTTTTCCAAATAAAATCACAATGACAGGTTCCAGGTGTCAGGATGGAGACACAGCTCAACCTGCTACAGTAGCTTCAGGGTCTGCAGGTGGAAATAACCCAGGGGCTATTTGCTATGTGGAGATGGGCCTCAGGTGGGAGAGGCTGGGCTTGTTGAGCTGCCCTAGAGATGGTCATTCCAGGTGGAGGAGGAGCAGATACAAAAGAGGGCACTGGAGAGAATGCTGGAAAACCCGGATATTCAAGGGGTCAGAGAAAGATACTTTGTGGGAGATTCTGGAGGTGAGGACTGTGGGGCAAGACAGGGAAAGAAGCGTCAGATGGCTCAGAAATGTCTAGCAGGTGAGGACAGCAGGAAGTCTGCTGGATTTAGCCATGATAAGGCTGGTGGCAGTTCCTGAGATGGGGCCAGGAGGTGAGACCTGAGCTGACGGGGAAGCATGTGTGGAAGCTCCCTAGGCAGCAGGGAGAGAGAGCAAATGAGTAAACGTGGACATGTGTGGAGCACTGTCCCTGTTTCTCTTTCTTCCTCTCCTTCTCTCCCTCCCCAGTCCCCTTCTGTTGTTCAGTGGGAGAGACTCTTTAACAGCTTCAGTGATGGATGTGGAGGTCTATAGGTACTAGTGGGGAAAGATGTCCAAGCTATGTGTATTAAGTGAAAAAGGCAAGTTGAAGAACAGAAAATACGGAATGATGCCATTGTATTTGTAATGCATG